TTTTGGGTAGGTATATTTACTTCGTTTGTTGTTTGATTTTTTTGTTTGTAAAATGTGTTTATTAATGCTCATTTTTCTTTTCTGGTACTTTTCTCTTGGTTTCTTGGAATTGGACTTTTGATTTTGAGCAGGTATATTTACTTCATTTGTTGTTTGCTTTTCTTGCTTGTAGAATGTGTTTACTAATGCTTATTCTTCTTTCCTGGTGCTTCTCTCTTGGTTTTTTGGAATTAACTTTCAATTTTAGATAGGTATATTTATTTCATTTGTTGTTTGGTTTTTTTGCTTGTAAAATGTGTTTACTAATGCCTATTTTTCTTTTCTGGTACTTCTATTTTGGTTTTTTGGAATTGGTTTTCGATTTTGGATAGGTATATTTATTTCATTTGTTGTTTGGTTTTCTTGCTTATAAAATATGTTTACTAACATCCATTCTTTTTTTCTGGTGCTTCTCTCTTGGTTTCTTGGAATTGGACTTTTGATTTTAAGTAGATATATTTATTTCATTTGTTGTTTGCTTTTTTTGCTTGTAGAATGTGTTTACTAACATTCATTCTTCTTTTCTGGTGCTTCTCTTTGGGTTTCTTGAAATTGATTTTTGATTTTGGGTGAGTATATTTACTTCATTTGTTTTTTGGTTTTCTTGCTTATAAAATGTGTTTACTAATGCCTATTCTTCTTTTCTAGTACTTCTCTATTAGTTTCTTGAAATTGGCTTTTGATTTTGGGTAGGTATATTTACTTCATCTGTTGTTTGGTTTTCTTGTTTGTAAAATGTGTTTACTAATATCCATTCTTCTTTCCTAGTGCTTCTCTCTTGGTTTCTTGGAATTGGACTTTCGATTTTGGGTAGGTATATTTACTTCATTTATTGTTTGGTTTTCTTGCTTGTAAAATGTGTTTACTAACATCCATTCTTCTTTTCTGATGCTTCTCTCTTGGTTTCTTGAAATTGGACTTTTGATTTTGAATGGGTATATTTATTTCATTTGTTGTTTGGTTTTCTTGCTTGTAAAATGTGTTTACTAATGCCTATTCTTTTTTCCTGGTGCTTTTCTATTGGTTTCTTGAAATTGGACTTTTAATTTTGGATAAGTATATTTACTTCATTTATTGTTTGGTTTTCTTGCTTGTAAAATGTGTTTACTAATGCCTATTCTTTTTTTTTGGTGCTTCTCTTTTAATTTTTTGGAATTGGACTTTCAATTTTGGGTAGTATATTTACTTTGTTTATTGTTTGGTTTTCTTGCTTGTAAAATGTATTTACTAATGCCTATTTTTCTTTTCTGGTGCTTCTCTCTTGGTTTCTTGGAATTGGACTTTCAATTTTGGGTGAGTATATTTACTTCATTTGTTGTTTGATTTTCTTGCTTGTAAAATGTGTTTACTAACGCTCATTCTTCTTTTTTGATGCTTCTCTATTAGTTTTTTGGAATTGACTTTCAGTTTGGATAGGTATATTTATTTCATTTGTTGTTTGGTTTTTTTGCTTGTAAAATGTGTTTACTAATGTTAATTTTTCTTTCCTAGTGCTTCTCTATTGGTTTCTTGGAATTGACTTTCAATTTTGAGTAGGTATATTTACTTCATTTGTTGTTTGGTTTTTTTGTTTGTAAAATGTGTTTACTAACATTCATTCTTCTTTTCTGGTGCTTCTCTCTTAGTTTTTTGGAATTGACTTTTGATTTTGGGTGGGTATATTTATTTTATTTTTTGTTTGATTTTCTTGCTTGTAAAATGTGTTTACTAATGCCTATTCTTCTTTCCTGGTGCTTCTCTATTGGTTTCTTGGAATTGGTTTTCGATTTTGGGTAGGTATATTTACTTCATTTATTGTTTGGTTTTCTTGCTTGTAAAATGTGTTTACTAACATTCATTCTTCTTTCCTGGTACTTCTCTCTTGGTTTCTTGAAATTGAACTTTTGATTTTGGATGAGTATATTTACTTTGTTTATTGTTTAATTTTCTTGCTTATAAAATGTGTTTACTAACATCTATTCTTCTTTCCTGGTACTTCTCTCTTAGTTTCTTGAAATTGGACTTTTAACTTTAGGTGGGTATATTTATTTCATTTGTTGTTTGGTTTTCTTGCTTATAAAATGTGTTTACTAACACTCATTCTTCTTTTTTGATGCTTCTCTATTAGTTTTTTGGAATTGATTTTTGGTTTGGGTGAGTATATTTACTTTATTTGTTGTTTGGTTTTTTTGCTTATAAAATGTATTTACTAACACTCATTCTTCTTTTCTGATGCTTCTCTATTGGTTTCTTAGACTTGACTTTCGATTTTGGGTGAGTATATTTACTTCATTTGTTGTTTGGTTTTCTTGCTTGTAAAATGTGTTTACTAACACCTATTCTTTTTTCCTGGTGCTTCTCTCTTGGTTTTTTGAAATTGACTTTTAATTTTGGGTGGGTATATTTACTTTATTTGTTGTTTGGTTTTCTTGCTTGTAAAATGTATTTACTAACTTAAAATTATCACCAAATTTACTTGATCATCTTCTTTAACATCATCATTCTTATTAAGATATTACCAAATCATCATCATCTTTAAGATCATCATTTTATTATCATCCTTAACAGCATCATCTGTTATTACATTACATTAACTCCAATACTATTGATATCAATGTTTTTGCTATATAGCGTTATTTGGCTCTGCTAGTTCTCTAAAAGTTATAAAAGATATCTTTATTTACAAAATTTCAAACATGTCTGTTATAGTTTCATCTCCTACTTTAAAATTTGTTTATATGGTTTTTTTTAATAAAGATAAATATATCAATTATTTATTTAATAAAGATATATTATACAATCTGTAATCTTGTTCTTCTTGTAATTTTTCACTTTATTGTAAAAAAAAACTTTATTGATGCATTAATTGTACTTGTTTTAAATCCTTTTCTATATTAAAAGATTTATTTTTTTCAAGAAACTATCTAAAATGTTCTGACATCATGTTAATTGGTTATCTTTGATTAAATAAAGTTATATACACGAGTATACTAAGTATGACAGGTCATTCATTGGCAACTATTACAAATTATATAAATTTGTTTAGAGAGATGATTTCTAGCACCTTGAGAGATAATGATAATATGATTGGTAGGTCTGATGTGATTGTCAAAATCGATGGGACTAAAATAGATAAAAGCAATTAATAATTAATTTTTTAGTCAATTAGTTGCAACTAACTGATTAGTTATCTAAAAGGTTTAATCTATTTGTTATTAGCTTATTAACTAATTAATTTTTTCATCTTTTAATTTGTAATATTAGGCAAGAGAAAGTATTATCAAGGTTACTGAGTTGATGGAATATGGATTATTGGTAGAGTTGAACAAACGGAGGAAAAAAGATGCTTTGTTGAAATAGTTGCTGATAGAACTGCTAATACATTACTTGAAGTTATATCTCAACATGTTTTAGAAGACTCCATTGTGTATACAGATATGTGGCATGGATATAATAAGCTTGAAGATTTAAGTATGACCTACAATATAGTAAATTATTCTGTAAACTTCGTAGACCCCATGACTGGTATTCATACTAATACTATTAAGGGGTTGTGAAATGGTTTAAAATTGAGAATTCCACTTCATGATAAAACAAAGAATGATATCACTAATCACCTTCATGAATTTGTATAGAGAAAAAAAAATAAAAATAATATATAGGGTGGTTTTATTAATGCTTTAAAAACTACAAGTTATCTCAATTCTGAATAAATTGTTTTATATCTTTATCAGTGTTGTCATGTCTACTATGTTTAAGACTTTTTAGACTATGTTCAACATCTAAACATTCAAGTGTCCAAGAGTGTCCAAAGCATGTTCAAGCTTTAATAATTAATAAATTTGTCTAAAAAATATATAATTATATATTTTTTTAGGTTCTGAATATTTTTCACTTAGAAAAGTATATATATTATCTTAATAAAATTTTAAGTAATTTTAATTTATATTTTTGTCCAAAAATGTTCAAAGTCATGTCCAAAGCTGTCCTGTGACAACACTGATCTTTATTACATATGTATTTATTCAATTTACTAATTTTACAAATTATTTTAACATTATATCAAATTTATCCTAATAATTACATAAAACATAAATTTACATATAAACAATTTTTTATTAACAAATTTACTAAAAAAATTTATTATATAAAAAGAATAAATAGCTTATCAATTACTATATATTAGTTATTAATGTCCAACAAGACAGAACTAAATTCCGAACAATGATAACAAGCAAAGAACACAAAAAAAGAAGAATAGGCATTAATAAACACATTCTACAAGCAAAAAAAGCAAACAACAAATGAAGTAAATATACCTATCCAAAATCGAAAGTCAATTTCAAGAAACTAATAGAGAAGCATCAGGAAAGAAGAATAGGCATTAGTAAACACATTTTACAAGCAATAAAACCAAACAACAAATGAAGTAAATATACTCACCCAAAATCAAAAGTCCAATTCCAAGAAACCAAGAAAGAAGCACCAGAAAAGAAAAATAGACATTAGTAAACACATTATACAAGCAAAAAAAGCAAAACAACAAATGAAGTAAATATACTCATCTAAAATCAAAAGTCCAATTCCAAGAAATCAAGAGAGAAGTACCAGGAAAGAAGAATGGGCATTAGTAAATACATTTTACAAGCAAGAAAACCAAACAACAAACAAAGTAAATATACTTACCCAAAATCAAAAATCCAATTCCAAGAAACCAAGAGAGAAGCATCAGGAAAGAAGAATAGGCATTAGTAAATACATTTTACAAGCAAAAAAACCAAACAACAAACAAAGTAAATATATCTACCCAAAATCAAAAGTCCAATTCCAAAAAACCAAGAAAGAAGCATCAGGAAAGAAAAATAGATGTTAGTAAATACATTTTACAAACAAGAAAACCAAACAACAAATAAAGTAAATATATCTACCTAAAATCGAAAGTCAATTCCAAGAAACCAATAGAGAAGTACTAGGAAAGAAGAATGGGTGTTAGTAAACACATTTTACAAGCAAGAAAACCAAACAACAAACAAAGTAAATATACTCACCCAAAATCGAAAGTTCAATTTCAAGAAACCAATAGAGAAGCATTAGGAAAGAAGAACAGACATTAGTAAACACATTCTACAAACAAAAAAACCAAACAACAAATAAAGTAAATATACCCACCCAAAATTGAAAGTCCAATTCCAAGAAACCAAAAAAGAAGCATCAGAAAAGAAGAATGGATGTTAGTAAACACATTTTACAAGCAAAAAAACCAAACAACAAATGAAGTAAATATACCTATCCAAAATCAAAAGTCAATTTCAAGAAACCAATAAAGAAGCATCAGGAAAAAAGAATGGATATTAGTAAATACATTTTACAAGCAAGAAAACTAAACAACAAATGAAATAAATATACCCACCCAAAATCGAAAGTCCAATTCCAAGAAACCAAAAGAGAAGCACCAGAAAAGAAGAATGAGCATTAGTAAACACATTCTACAAGCAATAAAACCAAACAATAAATGAAGTAAATATACCTACCCAAAATCGAAAGTCCAATTCTAAATAAAAAAGCCAAAAGGAAGTATCAGAAAAGAAAAAAGAGCATTAATAAATCCAAAATCAAAGCTACCTAGCTCCCAACAAAGTAATAAAATTTGACAAATAAAATTTCCCAAAAAAATAAATATCCTACTTTTATATAACTCAAATTGACTTGCAGGAGTTAAGTATTTAACTTTAATTAGCATAAGCTAGCTTATTTAATTTTATAATCGTTTAATTTAACTAACTATTGTATCATGTAATTATGTGAAACTAATCAAAGTTGCCCACCTATACTAAAGGAGATCTGTATAGAAATTATATTATGATTTTTTATATTTGCCCACCTATACTAAAGATCAACCAGAATGCTATGTTCTAATATATTTGAATAAAAATGTTACATCCTGAAGATAAAAACTTTAACATTAAAAAATAAATAAAGACATATAGGCAAATTGCTGCTTCAAATTGAAAAAAAAATTAAAACCATATTTAATTAAACAAATTAATTGCAATACTAAACAATATTTTAGAGATGTGGTGATTTAGTAAAGTGAACAGGTTGTCAACCACCAAGTGGCAGGTCTAGTATTCAAATTCTATGAATAATAAAATTTGAAAATTATATCTGTATTATGTTAACTGTGTTTTGTTGATTAGTTGGATAAAAAAAATGATCTGTAATCTTAAAAACACTATCTTAAATAAAAGCTTGAAGCATCTATGTAAAATATAACATTACATATATATAAAAAAATATTAATAATCAGTATTGTATAAGACTTTAGTACAAACTTACAATAAGACTACTAGGTGCATAATACTAAGAAACCAAAGTACAGAAACCCACTTAAAAATTCTAAGTAAAAAGGTAGCATAGACTTTTGATAATACTACTAAACTATCAGAAAGCTTTAAAAAGAATTACTAGAATTACTAGAATTAATTAGACTAAACATGTATAAAGAAGCACATACCAACCAGACTGCTAGAAATCATTGGAGAAAAAGGATCTTAAAATACCATACTGGGCATTTAAATTAGTAGTTTGTAAAGTCTTGTAGGTCTTATAGGTCTAGAAGTAGAGGTGGAAGTTAGAAAAGAAAGGTATCAGGGTTCTAGTAAACTTTACAAGAATATAGCAGTTTAATAGTTAGCTCTAACTGCAAATAATAGTTTAGACCAGAATGGTACTAGGTTAGCTGTAAGTATAGGATACAGAAGGTTCTGGTGGGCTTAGTATAAAGTTAAACATGACTTAGTGACCATAATATATTTGCAGATTAACACTGCAGTTGATATAATAAAGTGAATACAGGAACTAGAATGTTTAAATAAAGAACCTATAGTTATGACAACTAGTGTAAAACCTTTGGACAAACTACTTAAAATAGACAATAAATAAAGTTATGAGTGGCTAGTTATATACTCTTTTTATAATTGCCTCTGTAGCTATTGTATACAATAACTATATGCCAACTAATTATTAATAAACTTCTTGGTCACAATTACTTATCTTAATATTAAAAAAAAAAAAAAAAACTAAATAATATTTTAAAAATAAAAAATTTTATAGAATATAAATTAAAAACAGAATTAATAAAATATTAAATTTTAATAGCAATATATCTTAAATTTAAATATTTAAATTTATTTTTTTTATATTACAATAAATAAATAAACTATACTTGCTAATCAGATTGAATTCACAAATCTTATTTAAAGAAGCAATTAAAAAATACCAAAACAAAAATAAAATTATGCTAATATACAAACAAATTCAAAATACTATTTAACAAATTCTAAAGTAGAAACTTATAATAGAATAATTGATAAATCTTAATTTTAAATATTACAAATTAAGTAATGTTTATAGAATTGTTAAATACTGTTATAACTTTATTTTAGTATAACTAATTAAAAATATATTTAAAATTAAAAAATAAAATAAATTAGATATATAGCATATTATAATATTTTTTGTTTAACAAATCATTTAAAATTATATTTTTGATCAGCAGGTTAATAGCGAAGTAGTTACACTCTTAGGTCACTAATTGCAAAATTGCTAGTTTAAGTTTAACAAGAGATATAAACTGTGTTAAAACTATGATTACAAATTAACTACATCAGATAGCATATTATGAAAATAGGAAGATCTTTGGTACCCAGATCCTTAAATAGTGATGGATCTAATATAAGAAGGCCACAATGATTAGGAGGCTGAAGATAATAATAGAACAAAAGAATTCCTAATTAGGAATAATCTCAGTGAAATTCTGGAGTAATAGGAACACAAAAATCAGTATATAGATAGTACTATAAATATACACAATATAAAATATAGATGAAGTCCTGATAGAAGGTCTTGTAAACTTGAAATATGAACTAATAAAATATCCACTAGCTGTGGCCTACTAGTGACCATGCAGTGGAAAATTCAAAAAAAAAAAATTATATTTTTTAAATTACTAATTACTAAAAGCATAATGATTTAGCAAAGTAGATAAGTTGTTATATCTCTAAATAACAGATTGAAAGTTTAAAACCTACTAATAGTAAAAATTTAAATACTGTCAACTATAGATATAATGGAAATCTGAGCTGACCAAAAAATTTTGTTATATAGCATATTCATTATATGTATCTATATACCTATATACTTATATAACAGAATTAATAACAGAGTTAGGCTGGATTCTGTTATAATGGTTAATATATATATATATATATATTGCATTCTTATTGGTTGCAAGTTGTCACATTATATTGAATTTGTTGTATAGATTAAAATTTTATAATAAAATCGGTATATGGGCTGGCAAAGAGTTCTGTTATATGTAATATGACTTTATTACTATTAAATCCATTATAACCATTATACATTATATATTAAAAATTTGGTACTTCAAATTTGGTCTGTTAAACTGATGATTCTGGTATAAGGATGTCTGTTATATTCATAGTTGACAGTAACTATTTATATTATAGCAACTGTTTCTAATAATTGAATAAAATATTTGTAATTACAATTGTATTAGTATAACTAGCAGGTTATAGGACATTTGTGTAACTAGTTATATATAGAAATGCAAACTAACATTAGGTGTTGCACAACCCAAGTTAATTTTTTGTAGTTATATAAATTTATAAAAACTAAAAAACAAAAAATCTATTTAGAAAGATCTAAGTAAAAAAGTAATAATATTTTTTAATAGTATTATTATAAAGACTAAATCTTAAAAACAAATACTAATATAAAGAAGCAAACAAGCAAAAACCTCTAGATAAAAAGTACTACCAACCAGGTAGTTAGAATTAAACTAAAAAAAAAAATATTAGACTAATCTAATATACTAAAAGACAGATTGTAGTTCTACTAAGCTATCTAGATTAAAAGCCTAAAGACAAAAGCAGAATATACTAAAATACTATAAATATACTGTAAAGTGATACTAGAGTTTAGATAAACTTTGCAAAGATATAGGCCTGTTAAGATCTATAAAATAAATAGATAAATTAATAAAAAAGTTTTTAAGTCTTAGTAACAAGTAACAGATTTTAAAATATATAACAGTCTAGATACTAATACAAAAAAAAATAAAATCAAACCTGAATAATTTTCAATATAAGATAGCACAAAATTGTTTACCTAAAAGTAAAATAATTAGAATTATAAAGATACTAATTAGATAAGCTAAAGAGTTTAAAAAAAGCATTTACAAATAAGAATCAGATATAACAAATAGTAAATAACTTAAAAAGAATTCTTAAATAAATAATAACTAAAGTTGTATATATGACTAGCTGTACTTTTACAAACTATAAATATACTTAAAGATATTACTAACTAATAAAGCCAATTGGCTAAATGATTGACTATTTATAATAAAAAAACTACTAATTACTAAAAGATTACAAAACTAATATATAACAAACTTAATAGATTTTATATTATATTTTATAACTTTATTAAAACTTATTTTATTTTTTTATTTAAACTGCTAAACAATTTACAAAACTTTAAAGAAAAACTAAAATTTTTTAATTTACTATTAAATAAAAAACTACTACTAATTACTTATTATAAACTAAATAGCAGAATTAAATATTTATTTCTACTAGACATATTAAAAAAAAATACAGATATTTAGAAAATAATAAACCTATTAAAGGAATACTAAATAATTTTTTTGTACAGAAGCTAGTATTACTAAAAGATATATATAACATAAAACTTAAAACTTAATTTAAGTATTCTATAATAAATAATAATATAATAAAAAAATTTTTAAACTAAATAAAAATAAAATATAAAATTTAGTTTTTATAAACAAAAAAAAATACTAATTTAACAAATAAGCTAAGGGTGTGCGACTTAGTGAAGTGAATAAGTTGTCATACCCCCAAGTGGTAGGTTGTGAGTTCAAAACCCACCAATGGTGAAATTTGAATAATCACCTATATAATATATAGATGATATTACGGCGATAACATTCTGTTGATCAGTTGAGATAGGATACTTGTAACTATGATTGCATCAGTATGACTGGCAGGTCTGGGGCATCTGTGTAACCTGTTACACAGAGGAATGCAAACTAGTACCAGTCGGTGCAAACCTAAAATAAGTCCTCAGGCTATGTAAATCTGTAAAACTAGGAAGCCAGAGTCCACTTAAAAATTCTGAGCAGAGAGATAACACAGATCTTTGATGGTACTACTATAAAGGCTAGACCTAGAAAATGGATACCAATATGAAGGATTCAGAAAGGCAAGAACCTCGGGTA